GTGTCTGTGTGTCTGTGTGTCTGTGTGTCTGTGTGTCTGTGTGTGTGTGTGTCTGTGTGTCTGTGTGTCTGTGTGTCTGTGTGTCTGTGTGTCTGTGTGTCTGTGTGTCTGTGTGTCTGTGTGTCTGTGTGTCTGTGTGTCTGTGTGTCTGTGTGTCTGTGTGTCTGTGTGTCTGTGTGTCTGTGTGTCTGTGTGTCTGTGTGTGTGTTTGTGTGTTTGTGTGTTTGTGTGTTTGTGTGTCTGTGTGTTTGTGTGTTTGTGTGCTTGTGTGCTTGTGTGCTTGTGTGTTTGTGTGTTTGTGTGTTTGTGTGTTTGTGTGTTTGTGTTTGTTTGTTTTTGTGTGTTTGTGTGTTTGTGGTTGTGTTTGTGTATGTGTATGTGTATGTGTATGTGTTTGTTGTTGTTCTGTGTTTTTGTGTTTTTTTGTTTTTGTGTGTGTGGCCTTCATCTGTGTGTGTGTAGCCTTCATCAGGTGAAGTACAAGATCTCCGTTTTCAGATTGGCTCAAAGGGAAGCCAAAAGGAACATATTCTGTTTGCGGATCTCCCTAATTTGATGAGCCATACCCAGGCTTAGAAAAAAGCACGAGTCTTTTCCATACAAGGCTCTCGGCAGCTGTCATGGCCGCCAATGGCAAGCACCGCACTGGCCAAGGCAGAACGGCAGTTCAAGTGCGGCTTTCCGAGGCTTTCAGAGGTGGGCTGAAGCCGACATCAGAATTCGGGGATTCATGTCCACCAGCCCATGTTTGAGGTGGTTCCCTCTCAACCTTCACAGCCAGAGGGCTGATCTTTGACTCGAAAAAGCCGCACTTGAACTGCCCTAGTGCGGCCAATGCCCGCATCCTCGACTCCGCAGAGCATCCCGCAGCTCTTCATTGCGTGGCGACTACCAGAATGCTCAGCTGAAAAGGGGTACCAAATGGACAATGCCCGGATGCCCAGTAATTTTCTGGGGGTCCCGCATTTTAAGACACACTCTTGTGACAGTAAGTCAGTAAGGACACGCATTTTGTTCAGCCAGACAATGCCTGATGCGTTCCATCGTGCTCTGCCTTGACGAGTCAATACTGCAACATTGTTTGACTTTGGACGCGGCGACAAATCGGAAGCTTGCGATTTCCGACCGAAGTTGCTAGTTTTGGGGGTTCAGTTGCCACCATTAACCGCTGAGGCTTAATACAACCACCATAATTGACCTAAGATGTTTCATCATGCAAATTGCACCTAGGGATGTGTGTTTCCGCGCTATATAGACTCTCTATCGTACAGTGGGTGAGACAATCGGCTCATCACCGGCATCTCTAGCCTCCACTACAAGGCTAGTGGCCATGTGTGTCGCCCTTGGTGGGGCGTTCCTGTATGGCATCTGTACCTGGGAAACTCTGTGAATTCAGCGGCTACCAAAGGCGCCAGTCTCGGCAGCATCCTACAAGCGATAGGACTCATCTGTTGATCCGGGGCAAGAAAAGCGGCCTCCGTCAGCTGGCTGCGGGGTCTTTCTTGCCTGATCAGCAGAGAGACGGGGCAGCCTGCTTCTGGCTCGGAAAGAGAAGACGGAAAGAGAAAGAGCAACGAAGAAAACGAGAAGGATAAAGCACAGACAAAACAAAAAACAGGAATAAATAGAGAGACAGAGCAAAAGAAAAAACAAAAGAGAAAGAGTGAGAGAGAGAGAGAGAACAAAAAAACCAAGAGACATATTAAAAACATGAGAAAGAAACAAACACAGAATGAAAGAAAGCAATAAATAGCAAAAAGCAAGAAAGCAAGAAAGCAGGAAAGAATGAGAGAAAGAGAGAAAGAGAGAGAAAGAGAAAGAGAGAAAGAGAGAAAGAGAGAAAGAGAGAAAGAGAGAAAGAGAGAAAGAGAGAAAGAGAGAGAGAGAGAGAGACAGAGTGAGAGGGAGAGGGAGAGAAAGAAAGAAAGAAAGAAAGAAAGAAAGAAAGAAAGAAAGAAAGACAAGAAAGACAAGAAAGACAAGAAAGAAAGACAAGAAAAGCAACGGGGAAAAAAAGAAAGAACAAAAGAAAGAAAGATAGAAAGAGAGAAAGGTCTCACGAAAAGAAAGGAAAGGAAGGAAAAAAAGACAAGGAAAAGAAAGGAAAGACAAACAATGAAAGAAACAAACAAACAAAGAAAGAAAGGCTAGAAAGAAAAGAAAGAAAGGAAAGCAAGAAAGGAAAGAAAGACAAGAAAAGCAAGAGAAAAAAGAAAGAACAACAGAAAGAAAGAGAGAGAGAAAAGAAAAACGGGGGCAATAAATCAGGAAAGAAAGCGAGAACGAAAGAAAGAACGAACATAAAGCAAAGAAAATAAGAAAAGAAAGAAAGACTTTAATAAAAGAAAGACGAGAAACACAACAAAAAATAGAACAAAACAGAAATGAAAGGAAAGAAATAAAGAAAGAAAGCAAACAGGAAGAATTAAAAGAAGGTAGGAAGAAAGACAGAATAAAGAGAGAAAGAAGTAAAAACAAACAGAAGGATATAAAGAAAGAATAAAATAAAGAGAAAAAGAAAAACAGAAAGCGAGAAAGAGAGACAGAGAGAAACAGAGAAAAATAGAGATGCACTTAGTGCAGTGCGTCTGTCTCTGCTGTGAACGTGAACATTCTGAACATAGCCTCGGGTCACAAAAGCCGCGCCTTTGTCTTGCGAGGCTTCCTGTTGCTCCTTGGGAACATCGAGCATTCCAAGATGTTCACCCGCCTCTGCATGGGTGTCTTTCTTGAGGGCACCCCCCTTTTGGTGGGTTTAACGGAACCAAAAGGTAATTTGTTGGGTCTCCAAAAAAAAACACGCCCGCATGGATCTATGGATCTGAGAAGCAGGCGGATTTTCCATCTTTGCTGCCCGCTGGCAATTGTTTCTGCGCTTTGTCATTCTGCCTGAGCAAGTGAGAAAGTCTGGCACATGGTTCCAAATCACCCGAAATCTGTGATACCAATGGGTTATCCTCCAGAGCAGTTGGATCTCTTCAACTGGTCTCCACTACCCCCAAACCACTACTCCCCAAGCGTTCTATCAAATATACAACCTCTGTATTGCGGCTATATAAAGGGTATGTACCCCATTTTGTCCTGGAGGTTGTGGTTTGGTGGACACCATCATAGAAATTGGTTTTCTATCACGAGAACGGGCCCTGAACCAACCAATTGTCCAAGGTCTGACAGCCGGGGCTGAGATCATTGCCGTCGCAAGTTCTCCTTCACACTCTTGTGAATCTTGAAGCCATAGATGCGCGGGCACTGGCGACAGGGTGCGCTCAAAATGAAAGGCTCACCCGTCTTTGGTCCGGGGCCGAATTCTACATGAGTTCTACTAAACGGGTTCCGATTGCCCACATTTGGAAACCTCCTGGTTCCTCTTTTTCCACTGAGAGTAGCACGTGTATCTGAGGCATGCATGGAGGGACCTCAGTGCCGGTTGCCAAGACTACATGTGTCTGGATGATTCAAGGATGCACCACGTCACGGGAACTGAGGGCGTGACAAGCTGCTGATATGTGAGGAAGAACAAATGAGCGAATGTAGTGCCAAAATAAGCACCATCAAGACCTCACTGAAGAAGTGTCATGGCTTCAGGGAATGAGCCATTCGCATTGGCAAAGCCTCCCTGAGCACTTGACATTCCAATTTGGAAGACTTTGGAATGTAGACTTCTCTGCAGTGGGGGCAGTACACCTTCAGCGGGCCAAACCGAGACAGTTCGGCAATCTTGAAGCTATCATTCGCAAACTGAAGTCTGAGTAGAGAAGAACTGCTTCATAGCTCGCAATGCTTTTGTGTACGGTCAAAATGCACAACATGGCTGCCACGGCTGGCACATGTATTGCTCAAGGCCTCATCGCTCATTTCTGCACGGCTCTGGAAAGTCACAACTGTTCATTCCACGTTCCGATTTGGGTGTGTCTCAAAAGGGGGGTCCCAAAACTGGGTGGTTTCGTTTGGCTTTCTGTTAAAACCCACCTGAAAAGGACACCAACTCAAAAACAAACGAGCCACCCAGTGTCAATTAGGGATTCAGACCCCAAAACTCGGAAAGGAGGGCGCACACCACATCGCCTTGGCCGCGCTCTGCCGCAGTTGGTCAGAGAGGCCGATGGGAAGCACTGCCTGATGGATGGCTTCGCCTCGGCGTCGAACATGCTTTCGGGATCGAGACGGGGTATGTTTGAGCACAAGCTAGACGTACGAGGCTTCTTAGGGAAATCAGTCACCTTGTCATGGCTAGTCAATGGGCAACCCTGCGAAATCAGTGAAGGGGTACACTGACGGGTAACAGGTTCCAATCGCAGACAAACATGTAGCACCTTAGAACCTAGGTGCCAGGACCTATCTAGGATCACCCAACTTGAAGACAAACAAAGCAAAGAAGGCAGACTTCCCCATGTCTTCCCCATATCTTCCCTTAAAACATCATCCCTGCCAAGCGAAACTCACCTATGAGCCAAAGAGGTGATGTTTAAAACCACCACAGCGGAGACATATCGGGAGCCCTGCAGCCGCGTCTGAAACTGACCCGAATCCAACTCTGAGCCAACAGACACTGTGCCAGCGGGCATCTTCCATACACCTGGGAAGAGAAATGAGGTCCGAACAGGATTTGGAGTCTCAAAAAAAGAGAATCCCATTTTGTTGGTCCTTCAAAGGGAAACCGGGAAACCAACAGGACCCATTACGTACAAATATGTTCCTGTTGATAGAAGCCCGAAGCGAGAAGCCCGAAGCGAGCCGGAGGTTCATAGCAGTTGTACTTGTCCAGCATGGCTGCCATTCCGCGGCTCGTCAGGATGAAGCGGGCGTGGATAAGGCCGTACAGCATCTGGGCAGCGGTTTCCACCTGAGTGAGGGTGCATAGTCTGTGTTGCGCGAATCTCCAGGTAGACTTAAATCATATGGGATATGGGGGAGGTCAACCACCCCTACATGCAAGCACTGAACACATGGACCCTTGCAAGTGGTGCTTTTCCGGTCGCATCTCAACTTGGGCAAGTGCCAAAGGTGCTTGATCATCCTGTAATCTCTGCTCCTCAGTGCAAGACCATGCATTCACGTGACGCGCATAGTGGAATAGAAACTGTGCTGCTTCACTGTTCACGCCCAAGACGTCGCTAAGTGGAACAATATCCCATTGGTCGCTTTCCTTTTCGTTGGTTTTCCTTTTCGTTGGCTCGAAAAAGCCACACACACACACACACGAGTACCGAGCCTCAAAAAAGCAGACCCAGTTGTTCCTAAAAACAAGTGAGGTGTTTGTCTGATGTTTGGAGCCTCAGACTACAAGTTCAATGCGATAAGCTTATTGCATGCGTACGCTCACGCAGATGGGCGAGTCTTTCTTTGGCTGGGTACCCCTTGGCTTGGCGTTTAAGGGGAAACCAAGAAACCGAACCCTGCCAAACATGGAGAGTACAACCCAAAACAAGACACCCAAATCGGGAACTGTTCGTGTGTCTGCTTAAAATTGGGGCGAATCCCCGATGTACCTTCCAAATTGACCATACCGAACCTCGCATGACTGCTCATCAGGCGAGCGGCATCTTGATCATCAAAGTCGAGGATCATGTTTAGTGCATCCTCATAGCAAGGCACCTTCGGCTTTAGCAGATCATCACTCTCTCTCTCTCTCTCTGTCTCTCTCACCTTCCCCTCCTTCTCCCGTTTTGGTGGGATCTTCTATCGCGGTCAAGGTTTTGGCACGCAAAGTCCGCCTGGGCACTGAGGCCAGTGAGGTTGAAATCATCCTGAGGATCCGGATCAAAGTGGGGGATGTGAAGGCATCACTAGAGTCTCCTGAATGTAATCCTCATCAACCTCCACGAAGAATTCATTGCCCTGGCCAAGAAAATGCCACTACCGATGCGCATTCAGCTGTGCATCTGGCAAAGTGACAATTTCTCGGTCTGCTAACACAAGCTGAGTCAGCAGCTCTTGTAACAAGCACAACTCTGGAGCGGTTTTCACGAGTACGTGCTCAGTGCATCTGCATGTTGCGGCTAGCGAAACTCACAAAACAATTTCGCGCCTTCAGGTGACAAAACCACTCTATCCACGTGATCTCCTGTGTGGCACAAAAGGCGCTCGGTGCCCGCATTGGACGCAAAATCCAAGGAGTCCTCGTCTCGGTCCGAGCCCGAGATTTCAGAATAGTCCTGACACACACAGACACACACACACACAAGCACACAAGCACACAAGCACACAAGCACACAAGCACACAAGCACACAAGCACAGAAGCAGACACACAATCAGAGAGAGAGAGAGAGAGAAAGAGGGAAAGAGACAAACACACACGCGCACACACACACACACTTCAAAAACCCAAGCATGGAGTTCATGCTGCGCTTGACCTCATCGGAATCAGTCGTCATCTCGCTCTTGAACACGGCCTGGGAAAATTCAAGATAGAGCTCACTGCAAACCGCCGCAAAAATGGGGCGGACCATTCGGCTTCCAACCCTACACCTTTTTTACACCTCCATTTTACTTTTGAGGGCCCAACAAACAGGTACGGGGAAAAACGAACGGCCCCCGCACCAAAATTGCCCTGCTTTCCCATAAAAACGCAGCGCCTGCTCGTGGACGGCGGGGAAACCGTGCTCTCATTATGAATGTAAGCACAACTTGGGCGCTGAGTTCTCTGTGGCTTCATGAAAAACAGGTCCTCAGTCTGAAAATGTGTGTCTCGAATTTGGAACCTGGAACTATGGTTTGAGCCAGGATCGAGCCGCTTCTGATCAAAGCCCTCAACTTGTGCATGAGCCCTCCGAGAAGGGGGCTTCGCGATTCTCCCCAGTTGCCACAAGCATCGGCTTCAGAAAGGAAGCTGTACAAAGGGAGCCCATGGAAATCATCCTATCTGTACCGAAGTGGTTGCTTCCCGTGAATCTACTTCACCTCGGGAATTCCAGCTTGGCATCACAGAAAATGGCAACCTACTGCCCCCGTTTCCTACACCCTTGAATCGACTTGTTTGCGGGCACAAAGGAACACAAACCCATTGTTGGGATTCCCAGATGTTGCCGCATGTCCAAGTATCTCGATCAGGTCCTCGCAGTCTTGCTCAAAAGCAGGGCTTCAAAAATGGCGCATAAGAGTCACAATCAAAACCGGATATACCCAAGCCAGTGTAAAGAATTTAAGGGGCGGACGCACCTAATTCTGGCTGGGACTGGCCCTCACTAGCCTTCATACTAGCAGCGCCCAAAACCCAATGACCTTTGGTTCTACTAAGTTGGCTATATAGGTTCACATAGGTTGAAATAGACGGCCTTGCTATTGCACTCTATGGTAGCAACCAAACCACCTACAAAAATGGCTAGTGATTTCGGGCGCTTCTCATACGGACTGAGACGCAGGTGTTTCCAGCCTCGCCGGAAGATGCCCTGGGCCGATTGTGGATCAACCTGAACCCTCGCCCAATCCAGTGTGCAAGCTGGCTTCTACCCGAACTACCCAGGGATTCATATACATGAAAACATAGCCACTAAAGGGTGTTTACCCCTTTTCCCCTGGAAGTTGTGTTGGACGTGGAAACCATCTTGGAGAGCGGCCCTTTTCCAGAACTTGCAATCTCACTGCCCAGTGAGGCCGGCCATTTTGTAGCCACGATTCTCAAGGGGAGCGCATTGGCCGACTCGTTGAATGGGTTCCAACAAGCGGTGTCCAATTTCCGGATGCTATGCAACCCCGTTTATTCGAACCCACGCAGAGCCCCCTGATGCATGCTAGCAGGCGAAACGCTTTGCAACCGAATTGGCTGATCCTGCTCAGCTGAAGACTCTCAGCCTATCGCGTGTTGCAATTTCAATTGCTACAGATGCTTCTGCACATCGCCATAATCACAACGAGGCATCTAAATGTTCTTCCAAAGCCTATGGTGAGTGAAAATAGTGGTGGCCGCACCAAAAAGTAGTATGGCAAGCTATCCCTTGCCAACCGTCCAACAGAACCGGTTTTGGTCCTTGTGGGTCACATGGCAACTCGAAGGCCAAGCTCCGAACTGAACTTCGCCCACGCCTCCAGGAATCGCATTGGCGCTCACTCGAGGCAAGGGCGCTTCAGGCGCTGCTGGTGGAAGAAGGGCACCTAGGCATCTGGGTGTGCGTGGGTGGTGTTTGAGTCTCGATACACATTTTGGAGTGGTTTAAGGGACAACCGAAGGTAAAACCAACAAATTTGAGGCTCCACATTGTAAGACACATTCATGATCCGCTTCTTTTGTCCGGGGCCAGATACAATCTATTGCTGAAAGTTTGCCCTCGCGAAGGTGCACCGCTGCCATGCGGCAAACGGACACATCCAAACATAAATCGAGGACACCCAGGTGCACCGCTGCCATTCGGCAAACGGACACATCCAAACATAAATCGAGGACACCCAGATTGGTAACTGGCTACAGGCCGAAAAACGTCTGAAGAGCCTCCGCAGAAGATTGAAACACTGCATTGCATAAAATCGGTGCCAGCTGATTGCAAAGAGGGATTGGGTAGGGCTGTGCAAGCAGAGTACGGAAAACCCCGTTTTCGCTGCCTTCCAGTTGCACGTGCCTGCTTCCAGTGCGGCTGCAAAAACCTTTCCCCGTCCGTCCCATCGCCGTGCTCTGGACCAAGAGCAACAAGGGGTACCCAACCAAATGCAAGCCACATGGCCCTGACGGATAAGCTCAAGGACCTCCTGTCGCACCTTCTTTTTGCACAAGTCAAATTGCGGATGTCGATCTCAAACCATGGAATGCGGCTCCCGGAGAAACGCCGGCACGCTTGCGACAACCGGCCACATCCCGAAAAAATCTCAAGCCCAACTCCGTGCTTGCTATATTTCACATGGCGGGCGGTGCGAAAATCTTTGAAATCCGCTGCTCTGCTGCGGTGGCTTCTGCCTGCTGTTGCGGGCTGAGTGACTGATACACCTGTGCGATCCGGCCGCCGTTGGAGTACCTCCGCACTGACTGCATGGTCCGCCACCGGCCCCGCTTCTGCACCTGCTCGAGCGTGCGAGTGCCATCCAGCACATCCGTGGAGGCCGACCCGTGCCTGATCTGATAGGCACAGTTGATCCCCTTTGGCACGTACCCCAGGCTTCGCAACACCACCGACAAGGCTCGAGTCCCTTCTTCCATCTCGAACTTGAAGAGCCGTTCTTCCACGGGCCTGCCCCTTGCGAGCTTCCCCAGATGCGGGCCCAACCACTGCAGGTACTCCTGATCCACCACCACCGCCTCGTCCGTCTCCCCGGTCTTTGACGGCGTGGCCACCTTCATATCCTGACCCGGGTTGAGCACCACGATCCAGTGTCTGCTCATTCGATTGGGCGCGACCAGATGCCCCACCTGCAGCCGATGAACTTCTCCCGGACGGCCGCAAACGGCCCACACCGTGAGCAGCCACATCGCCACCTCCTTGCATCCCATGGACACCAACTCCTGGCCTGCCCGGCACAACATGCTCCACGGCAGCGGGACTCGTCCCTTCGGCGGATCCAGCCTCCGGAATCCCCGAAGTGCCATGGCCGCCCTGGTCAGCTGGCTGACTTTCGCAACCTCCGCCCGCACAAACCGCACCGCCGCTAGGAGAGTCTGACCCGCTGACAGGTCCTCGCCCTCCCAAAACATGTAGTCCAGGTATTGGGCCAGAGCCGAATCCAGCTTTGCCAGAGTGGCGAGGCTCATCCCCTGCTCCGACGCCCACATCACAAAACTGTCGTAGGCCGACAGGTAGGACTGCTCGCGGCTGTGGGACACCGACCTTCGCTCCAGGAAAGTGACCGGCCCTGCGTTGTCCTCCGGCTCTCCACGCAGGCTCTTCCTCAGCTTCGCCCGCTTTGCCTTCATCGAGTCCTCGTTCCGGCACCCCGGCGAGTCCACCTCCTTCTCCGCCAATCCGCGCTTGGTGCGCACCAAAAGCCCCGTCTCTCCATGAGCGACCAGGACCCTTTTCACGGTCCGCTGCAGCATTGAGATCACGCACAATCTGCCTGGGGTCGAAAGGACCGAGGGGCTTGCCTCTAGAAGGCCCGTCCGCGGGGTTGAGCTCCGAAGGCATCCATCGAACACTGATGTTCATGCCAGTTGCCAAGGCGCCCCCAACTGCCGACAAACCCTGTTCATAGTTTTTGCCCTAGATCTCCCCTTTGCCCAGGAAAGCGTTGCTGTCAAACTGTCACTAAGCACCAGATGCCGCTTCCCGTGAGCATGTTGAGACCGCGCTAAATGCTGAAAAAGCCAAACGAGGGCTCTGCCCTCAAGAATTGGAATTGCTTCGGACCTGTTCCACTTGGCCGACTCAACCCTCCTCCAAGGCCCCTCCAGCATTTCCAGCGGCACGTCAGGAACCTTCCCTCCGGGCATCCCGGCCACTGCTTGATTGGCTTCTTCCGGCTTCCCGCTTTCGCCCAAAGGCTTGTCGCCTGCCAGGACGGGGTGTCCAATAATTGAACCCTCCTCCTCGACAGAGAACCTCCACCGATCGGAATACTCTCCAATTGCTTGACTATCAGAAGCTGCCCTGTCCGTCACAACAACTCCTCGCCCCCAAAAAGACGCATCAGTTGCGAATACCGAAGTGGCCCACTCAGCAGACAGGTCCCTAAACACAAGGGGAAGCAGCGATGACGCCCAGAATAGCTCTCGCTTTACCTCGGGCCACAAAACCACCTCCTTGTCATAGCACCGCCTGATGAAAACGTAGACCGCTTGAAAACAACTGAGAACCTCCCGTCGTAGAAGAGCAGCAAAAGTGAAGTGCCCAACGAGTTTCTCGACCAACTTGCCAGACGCCCTTCCCTCCTTCAGCAGCTCTTGCGTTGCTAATCTCAACCTCCACAATCTCTTCGGGGTAATCTGCACAATTGGGAGCTTGTCGCCAAACTTCCACCCCAGGCACTCCAGCCCCACGCCAGCCTTGACCTCGTGAGTAGGAAGTCCCCTCTCTGAAAGCTTCTTCCCAACCTGGGCAGCCAGTGAACACACTAGTCCGGGGCTCTGCGAAAGTGCCACAAAGTTGTCAACGTGCTCAGTGTGGATGAACGGGCTCATTTTGGGAATCGGCGCACTGTCGACAAAACGTCCTGCCCGCCCAATGTCCTCCATCCCATCCACAATACGCTCGTGACATTGCTGACACACCCACAAAGCATGGGTCCACCCCATTGGCACAACTCTGAAGCAAGGGAAAACCATTGTGTCATCAGGACAGGGTCCCTCAACCGTCTCTGACACTCCCGCATCACGGCAAACCAGCGGCGATAATGCAAACAGATCACGCAGAGGTGCAGGAAGCTCGATGTTGTAAAAGGCGTCAGAGATGTCGACACCACCCACCTCCAGCGGGCTTCCATCATCAACTTGAATCTTTGCAAAAGCGCTACCTGTAGCACGGTGAACTTTCTTGGGTTTCCCAAACCACTGGTTGGCCCGAGGAGAGTCAACCACCAGACGTTGCCTACCGCTCTTCTTCCAAACAGTGAAGGCTCCGACTCGTTCCCTGCAACCACGCCGGAACTCAATCAGCCCAGCTTCAAACAATCTCCTCACAAAAGCCGCATAAACACGTTTATGGCCCTTAAGAAGCGGATCATAGTACGGCCTACTCACACCAGGCTTTCAGCCTCTCCCGAACCTCATCTTCGGGAAGAACTTTCTTCACGACCACATCAGAAACATTCTCAGCCTCCCCTTTGAGGATTCTGTCCAGCGAAGCGGGGCAGCTGCCCTTTGGGGGAAGCGACACAAGGTCCAACTGAAATGGAGCCAGGCTTGCCGGGTCACCGGCATAGCCTGGTTTGGCCCGAAGCTCATTCAAGGCTTCCGAACCTGAAAAACACGGAGGCGGTTTGCCAACCCCCGTCACTGCATCTGAAATTCTCTGAAGACACAAATGCTGGGCCAGAGTCACAGAATGGTTGTCCTCAAAACTGCTGTGTTCCACCCCAGCGTACATACTGTTGAGGGTCACCACGATGTCCCTCACCCACTCCTGGACATGCTGTTTCATCTCCAGGCGGCGAGTGACACATCTGCTGATAGGCCGCGTGCGCCCCGGGCCAACCAACTCTTGAGGCAGGGGTAGAGGGAAAATTCCACGCTGCCGATCACTCCCATTGCCGTGTAAATCAAAACTGTCAGCCAGTCCACCTCCTTGCACATCCCCCCTGCCAGAAAAACCAGCTTCAGAGTCACCGCAAAGAGGCAAATCAGCTTCCGAGGGCAAGGCCTCCATTGAGCCCTGCCGAGATGCTCCTGTGTCGCTCCTTCGCGGGCCTTCCTGACCTGTTTCATCACCGCGGCCTCCTTCTCAATCTCCTTGGACACATACTCCATGAGGTCAGGACTGACCATCACATCGCCAAACTCGCGGTGCAACCCAGCGAAGATGTTGGCCTCCATTCTGTAAAGCCCCTCCTCGTCCTTCTTGTCCTTGCCCTGACCACGACCGGTCGCCTTTCCACCTCCCGGGCCCCGGTCTGAATAGAAATATTCGATCAACTGCAGCCTCCGGAATGCCAGCTCGATCCCGGCCAGGTTGGCCAAGTCCAAGCCGTCAAAGCGCCCCAAACGATCAATCATCTTCATCAACTGCTCATGCTCTGCAACTCCCCACGATTCCGGCTTCAAGGAATTGCTGGTAACCCACCACCTGTGATGATCGTTCGGGCCTCCATTCCGGCGATTGAGAAAACGCACACACCACCCGGCCGTACGAGGGCCTGGGACACCCCAGTCAGGAAATGCCTCCTCCGACATTTCCCGACTGACGTCTCGCCACACCCTCTCCTCCCGGGCTGTTCCTTGAAAACCCAGCCCGAGCAGTCGCGCGTCCCCAGCCGCCTCCTGACCCTTGTACTTGCCCAAGTCCTCCTCCTTGACTCGCTTGATTGCTCGCCACGCACCCTGCACATTCTTCAGGCCGATCTCACCGTGGATGACCTCCGACCCATCCAACCGCCCTCCGTTTCAATCAGTACCCAGGTGCGTCCATCTCCGTCACGGGGAGCATGCGCGGGCGCCTGCACTGCAACCACAGGGCCAACTGCCCCAGCCGGTGCCCCAGGGGGGAGGACCAATGCAGCTGCAGCATGGCCCGCGTCCAGCCTCATTTGCGCCATCTCCGCAGCTCCCGGCAAATTCCGAAAGCGATACGCATTGGCAGCTTGAAGACCAGCCGGAAGCCCCCCATCTAGACTCACCCTGAAGGTACTAAGGTCACTATTTTCCAAAGAGATCTGCTCAGGGTAAACGTCCATGTCAGGGGTCAGCACGATGTACCATCCTCGTCCGCAAGGGCAGCTCGCCAACACAATCCGTTCATGGTATAGATCATGCGGAGCCACGTCATACAGCAAGAAAACCCTAGCGTCCACCGGCAGCGACATCTAAAACCCTCAAGGCCTTTCGACTTCGAATCAGCCGCAGTTGCTCCTGTGCCTTGCTTTGTAAATCCTCCACCGCCGGGCTGTCACCACTGCCTTCTTCAGTGATCTCTGCTTCGCTCCACTTCACCCAAGCAGACTTGGCCAATGACACTGACTTCTCAAGTGCCCTTCGCCCAACACTGAAAAGAGAGCCAGCCAGAGCCCACAATGCCCCCTTTAACAGCTCCCAAAAGAAGCTGTTGCCAGGGCACACTATGGGCTCTAGCTGGCACGTGCAGTTGCAAACACAGCTGTGATCCCACCGTGTCTGCTCAGCCTGCCAGGCGGCCAACCATGTGAAGCAAAGGGCTAACCACCGGAGCATCTAAAAGCTTGAGCATGAGGGCCGCGGCCCCTTTCAAAAATGCTCCTCAAGTCCCTGTGAACAGAATTATGTTGTCATGGACCTTAACATCGGTTGTTAAAACCTCTATGGTTGTCAAAATGCGGAAATTGGTGCCTGAAAACTGACAAACGAGATTCCGGTGTTGCTTTTGAAACAAGTATCTGCGAAAAAGCATGTGCGCACACACAAATTGGGCCGGGAAATGACCAAAGGGGCGCTTTTGCCCAGAAGCCTTCAGACGCCTCTCAGCTCCGCACCGCTCTTCAGCAATTCTGAAGGCGGGGGAATCCGCACGGAGAGGACAGCACCAGGCGTGTGAGCCTGAGAGACATGTGGGCAGGTCCTTTTCTAGGCCCCAAGATTGGTCGTTGTCCTGTTGGTTTCCCTTTAAAACCACCAACAAAGATGAGCAGTCACCGCGGCTCTCCGCTCCACGCCTCCTGCAACTGGAACCGATACCAGCCCTCTGGACATCCGCTTCCTGCACAGCTTGTCAAACACAGAGTCCTCACTTCCCAAGTTCACAACTCAGCTGGACATGTCTTGTTTAGGGGGCACCAACAAATTGGAGGTTGTCCTTTCATTTTCCTTCAAAACCAGCAAAAGAGGAGTACCGGGCCTCAAAAAACAGACACCCCAACTGCTTCCACGGCGTAAGCGCAACCTGGCCTTTGGCTTCGCTCCAGAAGACGACTTTGTCGCCTGGCTTGGCACCTGCCGGCCTCATTCAAAGACGAGACTTCCAAACGCGGCGCCGTCCAGCACTAAGGGCCCCACACCTTCACCTCGAAAGAGGCATCGAAGGGAATTACAACTGGACTGTTCTCAGCAATTCATTCTCATGATCATGATATTGGTTGCAGTACTGGCTATCACAACTGGATGGTCACAACTGGATGGTTGCAGCAATGAAAAAAAAACACATTATCATCATCTTGCTGACTGCAACCTGACTACCCAAACGGCAACCAATTGGATGGTTCAGGTCGATTCGGCTCATTCCAACTGAAGGACCCTGCCCGTCCAACTGAACCACCGAGACAAGAGCCACAGCACAGGCATAGGTCTTTCAAAAAGGGTCGGACCGCTCGGCTTGAGAGAAGTCAGCAAAACGGCAGCCCCAATTCGTTGCAGTGAATCCAGCTGCCCTGAGGCAGTTTGCTGAAATTTAAAAAGAAAAAGGAGTCAAGGCGCGAGGGTGGGTGCCTGAAATGTTGGATGGATCCAGTTCTAAATACAGCATTTACAAATATATCGGAATCAGAATTCGGAGGGCATTCAATCAGATATTGCGCCCCAATTTCCCCCAGAAATCTTAAACATTCGATCCAGGATCTAAATACTGTATGCAGAAATCTGAATGCCGCATTTAGATTTCAGCTGTTCCTTTTGCTGTTCCATTAAACCAACCTCCAAAAACACCAACCTCCACAAAACGGAGGCGTAAACCAAAGAAGACAAGCAACACCCGCGCAGCGTGGTCTGCGGAATCCCTTGGAAGCGAATCCCATGGAGCGGGTCGCTTCCGGAAGCCGAGGTCGGAACCATCATGGCCGGCGGCAGAACCTCGAAGCTGTCGCCAGGCTGAAGACCATCGGGCACTTTGACCTAAGCCGTCGGCCTCTCACCCGAGGCCCGATGAAGTTTTAGGGGTCCAAAGCTTAAGAAGGGTATTAAGGTTTGTATCAGCCTTGAAAGCCCCATCAAACCAGGTAGAGCCACCTCTAACATGGATCTTGTGGGGCGCTGGTCAGCTAAGGTCACTACACTCACCACCTCCCCACAGTCCAGGGCGAATCGGGCCTGCAACAAATGGGGGGTCCGCTGAATCATAGATCGACAGTGCCTCCAAACCTGTTTTTTGAGCCTCGAATCTTAGTTGTCGTTTCGCTGGCCCGCAATACGAACACCGGCCTCGTAGCCTCCGCGAGCCCAAGGCGGCACCGTCACGCGGAACCTAGAGCTGATCGCATGCCAATGCCCCATGCCAAGACCCGCCTTGTTAGGGTATGATGTCAGCCCTCTGACTCAAAAAGGTGGTGCATGTGGCAAAAACCAGGCGCTTCACTTGTTTCAACCTTGCGGCGGGCTTTTCGGAGCAGCAACCTGTCCCGGGGGAACTCCAGGGCCATGGCTGGATTGAAGGCCCCAGGCGAAAGCGCAGCACCCTGAGCTGACAGCCAGAAGTGGAAGGCTCAAACGGATAAATGCGTGCAATGCGCATGCATCACACTAGTAGGAATGGAAATTGGGGACAAAAAACAGCTTTCCTGCTGGTTTCTTTTGAAACCACCCAACAAATGGCATCCTAACATACGCACAAATGCATCACCTTTACATACTCCCTCCTGTTTCCTCCCTCACGCCATCTCTTGGCAGCTGGCGTGACAGCGCAGAAGTCGGATGTATCATACAAAGACGCTGGGGGTGCAGCCCCGGAAGCGCCCGGCATGGGCAACATGGGCCACAATCAAAACCTGGCCCTGAAGGGGTCTACCCAAAATGGGCGGCGTGTTTTTTGAGGGTACCCTCTCAAGGTGGTGTTAAAGGGAAACCTAAAGGAATACTGCTATGTTGCGGGGTTCCCTATTTTAAGACACCCCAAAATTCAAGGCAGCGTGCGCCAAGCGATGCAACAGCAATGTGTGAACCCCGGATTGATCGACCTCCGCATGGGTAGACGGGGTGTCACCTCCAAAAGTGAAGGTTTGCCTCTCATGTGTAAAATCAACCAGAGGTTTGTAAATCCGGTGTACCTCATTTCATGCGGTTCCTTTTGGCGTCCTTTTAAACCAACCCAAAGCAGTGGAGCTTGGCCCGTCGCTGGCTCAAGACGAGGCGCTCCCCTGCTTTGGCGCCCGGTGGCGGCTTGAGGTTGACGTCACCAAAAGGCCTGGGATGACGTCGCCGTCAATGCATGGCATGCACCATATTGCCTCCGAAAACTCAAAATGCCCGCTTTTTTGTTAGTGCGTTTAGAAAGTCCCGGTGTTCAGTGGTAAATACCCGCCTTGTATTTGTGAGGGTGACATCATACCCTAAACAAATCTGGGAGGGGTGTCTTTTTCGATTCTACCCTTTTTGGGGCTGGTTTCAGCAGAAAGGAACACTGAAGCCATGTGCTGGTTTGAATCTGTCTTTAGGCAAAACCCCCAAATGGTGGCTTGTCCCCTCGGTTTCCCTTGAAAACACGAAATACCCCCAAAGGCGAGCCATGTTTGCCGAATGCGAATGCGAAGCCCCCAAGTCCTGGCATCCAAGTAGCCCAGCCGCTCGAAGCGGAGTCCCTGGCATGTAGTCCTGAGACGGCCCGTTGGCCAATGCATCCCATGGTCACCAAATCAGCTGACCTCGGGTTTGGACGGTGAGAAAAAAAGAACAAAAACCTTGGTCGCTAAAATCGCCCCTATGGGGATTGAAGCTGTTTTGGGCACCTATCGGGGATCGGCGTTTGTAGCTCCCAATTTTGCTTATGAGCTTTGCCAAACCTGAGCTGATTTTGGGTTCTATTGGAACTGAAGGTTCATGCAATGTAGGCTTGTCTCAAAATTGGGGGAACCTCCAAAATGATTGGTTTCTGTTGGTTTCTCTTTAATGCCAACCAAAAGGGGGGCTCCCCTCAAAAACACAAGTGGATGTTTCTCAAAATAGGAATCGGTGGATATCGTTTGGGTATCGTATCCCTAAGTGGTGAAAAAGGGAATCCGCAATTTCAAGCCATACTCTTACGCCCATGAAACCAAGCAGTAGAACCGCCTACATGGCCCTTGTGGAGAGGGGGGGGAGGCTTTGGCCTTTGCTCGCTTGGTGAGGGGGCGAAGGATGCAAAGGGCCGCAAAACGCGGAAATCACCCATTCAAGGGTTTCTCACAAGGGTGGTCTCCTGAAATGGTTGGTTCCTTTGTGGTTTCCCTTTCAATACAAACCAGAAGGGGGTCCACCATTGTGAGAAACCTCATATCATCGACACCAGCTGCAGGAAATTACAGGGAACAAATCGGGAAACCAAAAAACCAAAAGCAAGGATCCCTTGGATTTTCTGTAGGCTAGGCTTCTTAGATCACTCTATTCCGATCCGAGACATGCCGCCTTCGGCACGGTCACGCTCACATCCGTCGGCGCCGCCGCCTTCCCCAAGTGCCCATGCTGCGACCTCGCGGCATAGATGGCTCTCTAAATGGCTTACCCCCTATAGCTTGCTGCTTTCGTGTTTTTGTTTGGGGAAACCAAAAGGAAACTGTTGCCGAAACCCTTCTCGAGAAGCGCCTCCCTCGCGCTCTAGAGAATCGCAGGCTTCCGCCGAGGCGCGGGCCCGGCCGTGGGGCCCAGCGCCTCCGCCGTCACGTCGCAGGTGCCGCTGAACTCCTCGATGAAACTCTGCGACGCCTCGACGGCGCCGCCTCGACGGCGCCGCCGCGCTCTCCGGGCACGGCGTCGGACGCCGACACGAGGAACAACCAGCCCCTTCTGCGGGTGGGTGTTTCTCAAATCGGTTGCCCTGTTTCCCTTTATACTTGTCAACCGCAAGGCAGTTGGGGAGAATGCCGCGCGTATTCAGCGTTCCACTCATGGGTGGGAGCCCGGTGGTTTGGTGGTGTTCCAGGGTGGCTCCCATTTACCCTCGACAAGTTCAAATCCCCAAGCCATCTTTGGGTCTGTTTTGAACCTTTTGGGACCTAAGCCAAGGCAAACTGAAGCTGACCTGTGCCATGTGCTTGGAGTCCCGACTCCCGACTAACCTTTCGGGTCAGGTGCCCGCGCCAGGAGACCATCTTGGTCCACTCCCAGGTACGGCTCTCTGGCATCCTCCTGTTCACGGAAGCTGGAGGCTCAAGAGGGTAGATGTCGAAACATCCCAGTCTCCCACATGGGTCTCCCGGTCTCCCTTCAAGAACCCCCAAAAAATTGGGGGGGGGGGGGGGGGGGGTATCTTCCGCCTCAAAACAAAATGAGCAAAGGACACCTTTCGCCCCAAGAAAACAGTTGCGCAGCAGGAAAAAGCGTCAACCGCCCATTTGGAGTCCTCCGGCTCACCAGGACGGGCGCATCGCAGAAGCGGACTCAAAATCCACATGCTCCTCGGCATCGCGCCACCCAAAGCAACATGACGCAAGCGAGTTGGCTTTTCCCGCCTGGTGACACCATCACAGCGCTGATTGCCAATCTCAAGCTGGTGTCGTGTGATGTGGTAACTTTGAAATGCCATTCAATGGTTATAAGCAAAGTGATGGCAACGTTGACATGAAATGGAGGTATTTTTCATGTGCTGTTTCTCTGCAAAAAGACAAACTCCGTCTGGTGAGGACGTGGTACCGTGAGGAAGGTTGTGAACTGCTGCCCAGGAGTACATAAATATTCTACGAGCCACGCTTCAGATACAAATGCTGTACATCGGATCTGTCAAAAGCAAGAAAGGTATAAAATGGTGGCTGTCAAGGAAACACCCCCAAGAAAAGTTTTGAGATCCTCTCAACATGTCCACTTTAATTAATGGACAGCAACCAGCCTGGCCGGTAGCCGCGTCACAAAAGTCGCTGGATCTTCTTGCACCTGGTCTCAACTTGCCCTGCGAACCGCCAACCGCGAAGTCCATGATGTTCCAACCTGCCTCCTCACCATTTCAGGCCTGCGCAAGAATCATGGCAAATTGTCAGCATGCCATTCACGACTTCACGTCAGTGCAAGGGAAAGCGTAGCAAAACACGCAAATGTCAACCAAACAGTGCCAGCAACCCTGCCTCGGAGCAACTCTTTGTGAGCAGGCCATGAGGTTTCCGGTAGAGGCGCGGGCGCACGGAGGCTCCGTCAAGACGATCTTCGGTCCAAGACATCGTCCGTCAAATGGCCCATTGGTCTGTCGACAAACTGCTAGAAACACAGACCTCAGGCATCTATCTACATTCCGGGTCTTGGGATTGCCCCAAACTTCACCCAAGCGTTGCCGTAGTGGAGAAATCAACCTGGGTTTGAGTCCAACTTGGGTGGTCCAACACTGGCACCCCGTCACGTGTTTTCATCTCTTTTTCGCAGGTGCTATGTCTCAAAGAAAGCTACGGGGACTTGCTGCAAGCAGGTAAAACATATTTTGAACACGCATTAACCAATTCATCGTCCCCAACTCGTTGGCCACGCGACTCAAGCCACTCTCATCCAGTAGCGTGAGAGTATTGGCTTCAAAGAAGCAGCTGCGAGAGAATCTGAGTATCAGCAAGCTGCAATGAGATGGCTTGACAATGCCGCATCCCCTGGCCAGTAATTCTGGGGGTGAACTGGGCACTCAGCCCTTGACGGTCGCTTTCTGCCGTGGTGCTTTGGGGATGCCGAATCCCGGTCGCAGAAACAGGGAGGATTCCAGTGGCAAGACCACACCCTTTCATTTGGAATCTAAAAACCCCATTCAGAAATGCCAACCCCAAGAAACCAGGCGCTCACTTGCCTAGCACCGGGTCAACCTGTTGGAACCTTCGCTAAAATGGATCAAAACTGGGAAACTGGGCCCATTCTTGTGATTTCAAGTCGGTTTTGGGGAACGGGTATCTGCTACTCTTGGGTTTCAGCATCCATCCGAGTGCTTGCGGACCCAACCGAGGCCTCCTGTCCAGACCCGCACTCGGCTCGAAATGCAGCGAACAGATTCGGCCGAGGTTGCCGGCAGCACTCACTAGACACCTCAGAAATTATCGCCTGCCTCGAAAAGCAAAACGAAGCGTCAAAGAAAGCCTCATGTCTTGCTTGACTCATCTGGGTATCAACCTGTAACTAGAAGAGAGGCATTTGGGTGTTGTGTTTTGCTCATCGATCCCAACTAGTGCGAAACGGGAGTGAATTTTTTCGGAACCCCCCAAAAATGGGCGTCCCTTCAATCTCTGGAAAGCCAATTCAACTCTCGGTCCCTGGCCAGGCGTTGGCTCGTTCCCGGCTCGTTGGCTCGTCAGCCGGCTCGTCAGCCGGCTTTCCGGTCCCCGAAGGCTTCCAGGTCGGCTTCCCGCGCCTCCAGACGAGCTCTGAGTGACTCCCGCTCCGACGCGATCGAGATGGGTGGCTTGTCAGCTTGTTGATTTGCAGTCGGTACCTTTCTCCTTGGCCTTAAAGGGAAATGAGCATATGGCAGCATATGGGTGTCTTTGTTGAGGTTGGCACCCCTATTTAGGATGGTTTAAAGGGAGATTAAAGGGAACCACCAATTGCTCGGGGTCTAGGTCCTATCTTGAGAATATGAGGTGTGCCGTGCTTCTGGAGGGTCCGATTTAGAGAGAAACCCAAAGTGAACTGTTTCAAACCTTTGACCCAATGGCTTGCTTGGGGGAGCCCTGAAACTCATAAGACAGATCCTCTTGCCTGGTGGGAACGAGCTGGAACGTAAGGCCAGATCCGTTCATGACTCCGAATCGGAAAGACGTCTTCGACAGCAACTTACCCGAACCAAACTGAATTCAACTCATCCCCAGGTTCATTCCCCCAAGTTCTGACCTACCTGCCTCGTTTCCTCCTCGTTTCCGTCCCCAAACCTTGATTCCAAACGGATGTATGTCATCAAAGGCATCTGGACCCCCCAAAATGGGGGGGGGAGGAATCCACCAACCGGTTTCGGTCTACCTTAGTCAATACAGTCAAAACTCTGCCGTGCTAAGAACCCTGGCTCAAGTTAAATCCCTGGTTTATTTTGATGGGTGTCCAATTCCTTTCAGTGGGGGACCAAGGTAGACTTAAACCGTTTGGTTGATTTCTCAAAAATCTCAAGCACCGCAAGGTTTCTCAGTGCATCTTGGGGTAAAAAATGGGGAGCCCCTCAGAATGTCTGTGTGACCAAGGAAGTCCCGAGGCCCAACCCCAAAAGGCGCCTTGTCGCGATCCGCTCTTTGGCGGCCAGCCTCACCCGACCGCTCCGTGGCCTGCCGACCGCTGGCGCCCGATGGTGTTTTTTTCTTTTTTTGCTGCCGAGAGTGGGGGCACCGTGCGCCTCCAAGTTCAGAACCACATACCAAAACGTGGGTTGGGGTGGGGTGGGGTGGGGTGGGGTGGGGTGGTATGATGGACAAGTGCTGTGGATGGACGAAATCCGCAAGGATTCTGTCTATCCCAACTGGTGCGAAATCGATTTTGTCCACAGGGTCCACTTGGCAATCACCTTCCTGTGTATTGGTCTCTCAGAGCCTGCAAAATATGAGCCGAGCGTATCCATGGCATGCGCCTATGGTGCTTGATTCTGTACCGGGGCTGCAAAAAAATCGCCAAACTGTGGCAAAAGCCCCCTGCACAAAGGGTTTAACTGTTCGGTCAGTGGAAAAAACTAACCTGATCCCAAAAAGGGGCTCACGGTTCAAGATCGAACCCGAATAGCAGCCAAGAAATTGTCGAGCGGATTTCGCACCAGTTGGGATGGATGAAACCTTCCAAATGCGGGTTGATGAACGGCCAATCCCAACTGGTGCCTGGTGCGGACTTCGTCCATCAGTCTGAATTACTGGTTGATCAACCCAAAAATCCCAGTCCTGGAGTATCTGGTGCAAACCGATTCGTGTGGGTTTTGTCGTCTGTTGATTTCAGCGGCCTTCACGAAGCAAACCTCGCGTCAATTGAGCTGTGACCCTTTTTGATTCTACCAAGATGGGTATCAAGGTTATGGACCTAACCCCATCAGCCCAGGAAGTAGCCGAACCATATGGCTCTTTTGGAACAGTGGTGTCGGGCGCTCAAAACCGGAGGACATCCACTCCTCGCAGGAGATCTTGTCGAAAAAGGACTTGCCCTTGTCGTAACCTGGCCGTGAACTCGTGAATCGATTGGCGGAGCTCACCTCGGTCAGCGGTCCAGCGGTCCGGCCGTGCCTTCCAGAGGCTTCAAGTTGGTGTCAGCAACCTGGGACGTCAGGACGTCAGGTAACCCTTCCGACCCTTCCTTGGTAGATATTGCTGGGTCCATTGCATTGAGATCAAAACTACCCAAGCGTTAGCGGGGTCAAGGAAACCACGGGGACCCAAAGGATTCTTTGCGAATGGCCCCACGTTACTGGGCCCATGCCCAATGGGCCCTGGCCTTGTCAAATTTCTGCGCGGACGACTCAAAGTCAAAATCCTGCGGGCAGCAAGAACTTCGGTCGGCTTGTTGGCTGACCCATTGAATGGATTTCAAGGAATGGGTTCCGAAATCGGTTGCAGGAAAAGAATGATTGCCCTTTGCTGCAAGCGATCGGAACCCGTTTATCAAAACCCGTTGAAACCTACGTGTTTGCAATTCCGTCCTCGGCACACTGCCGCTTGGTGTCTGTATTCACCTCAGCGCTACCAAATGAGGCCAATCAGGTGGCCGTTCATATGTCATGTGAGTTGACTGAAATCAGGATGTCCGCAAATCATCCGGCCCCCGAACGCAACTTGCCTCCGGCGCAAGTTCGCCAACGATGCCGTTGCCTCAGACCGGTGTCACTTCTGGCACGAGCTCAAGTCTTGCTGAGTTCTGCACCGCGCCGTCTTCCTTTCCCATCCTTACCCTTCTCGCCGTCCCCCTTGCCCTTGCCCCTCTTGCCATCTTTGCCCTTGCCCTTGTCCTTTCCCTTCTCTTTGCCCTTCTCCTTGCCCTTCTCTTTGCCCTTCTCCTTGCCCTTGCCGCCCTTCTCTCCCTTCTCCGCCTTCCCCTCTCCTTTGGCAATGCCCTTGAAGTCGTTTCCCTTTTCCTTGCCCTTCTCCTTGCCCTTCTCCTTGCCTGCCTTGCCCTTTCCTTCTTTGCCCATGATGCCCTCAACTGTAACATCCTTTCCTTTCTCTTTGCCGCCTTTCACATCCTTGCCCTTGCCCTTGTCAAAGGCAGCTTTGTCATAGCCAGCTTTGCCATCGCCATAGCCCTTGCCTTCCTTCACAAAGCTCTTGTCAAAGCCTTTGCCGGTCTTTGCATCGCCCTTGCCGTTCTGGCCTTTGGCATGGCCCTTGGCATCGTAGCCCTTGGCATCGTAGCCCTTGGTATCGTAGCCCTTGGCATCGTAGCCCTTGGCATCGTAGCCCTTGGCGTAGCCAGTGTCGCCTTTGGACAGACTCTTGCCCTTGCTGTCATCACCCTGGCAGTCTCATAGATTGCGGTGGAGAAATCTCCACTCATCAGTCACACAGCTACAGTATGTGCCGGGTCAAGACTCCGTCTGTCGGCTATTGTCATGGTTCCCTTCCTTGACCAATCATTGTCTAAATTATTGAGGTCCGTGACCTTGCTGACCATCCTCAAGTAAAATGGTGCTTATGGCACATACGGCAACGTAGATCTGTCCAACACAACTCATCCGAACAGTGACGGCGGCCCACCTTGCCAGCAGCCTTGCCAGCCTTTCCCTTATCTGGTGCCTGAAGTTCGCTAACAACTCTCGTCATTTGAGCAGCGCCACAAACCCATTGGATTTGCAACGGTCTTATAAAGATTTATCTAGGCCTTCTATGAGCCATATGAAACCAAGAAACCGAACCATCTACCAAAGTGGCCAGGGTTTTTTGGGCGCTCATTTTGACTCATGAGTCTTTGCGGAGATCTGCATGAGGCAGACATGGTCACAACTCCTTCTGTTAAGGCCATTGTCCTGGTTCCCTCAACAAGAACCTTTCCACTGCTTATCTAAAACCGCTCTTGGCCATCCCTTACCAACCTCAGGTAAACCCTAGGCTTCAACCCAGCAAAAATGATTGGCCCAATCTAGATGATGAAACTCCCCGGGTAGACAAGGGTGTTTTGACCATGGCAATGATTTTCATGCGAATCAGCTCCGAGCCTTCCCAGCATCCTGTCCTCCCGCCGGGGCCCTGCGACTGCACGATCGACCACTCCACAATGGGGAATGCGACGCATGTGTTTTGGATCTTGGAGGTATCAGCCTGGTGGCCCCTTTGCACAAAGCAATCCAGAAGTAGCGAAACCCACGTCATGGCCTTTGCCTTTTTCAAGCCAGAAGTGCAATGGCTAAACCCTCGTGCAGGACTCTGGACACAACTGCAGACTCGTGTTCAGAATCAGTCTGCCAACATCATGGGCACGGACTTGATGAACCAGCCGACGAGTAAACCAGCCAGCGTCGCTTGTTCACGGAAAGGATCGCAGGGTCATTGATCTGCAGGTGACACAGCTGGGCATGTTGACCCGAAGCCGCAGAAGGCAAAGTCTGTGTGATCCAGGGGGTAGCGTCTAAGTTGACTGTGGCAATCCTTCGGTTGAACAAATGCGTATGGCTCGTCAAAACTGGGATTTAGACAGAATGGCGGCGGTCCTTGGGCTTAGCTTTAAACTGACCCAAAAAGGGGTTCCGAGCCTCAACAAAACACGCTCAAGCACATGAGGCCTTTACACGGGGAGTGGACCCCAAG